CCGTGATCAAAGAAGATATCATGGCAAACCTAACAGTAAATTGAGCCGAGAACCACATCACAACTGGAGTCAAGGAACAAGACTCAGTCACGACGACCCACATCAGAGGGTGTCAACAATAAATGTTACAATTGTGGAGGAGACTACCCACACCACAGATAATGTTTGTCCTGCTCAAGGTAAGAAGTGCTATGAGTGTGGAAAACTAGGTCATTTTGGTGCTATGTGTCGTTCCGCACTAAAGAAACCACAGTCAATGAATAAAAGCACTGTACGAGGATCAGGTCATAGGGGTCGAGGTGGTAAACACAATATTGCACCTCATATCCAGAATGTTAATAATATACAAGACAACATTTCATTACAACCAGTCTCAGATGACAGTGAATGTGATTATACTTATGGAGTACAAGCAAACACAGAATGGAATGATCTTCCAAACAACCCAGAGACATGTGTATACATTGCTGGTATTTGTCTCAAGGTTCTCATTGACTAGAACCTGGCTCCCTCAAGACAAGGAGCACAAGGAGCAATGGCCTAAAGATGCCTCCTACGTGTAATTGGAAGCAGTCTTTGTCAGCCAGACAGATGCACGGCTCAACACGCCAGCTACTCTCCTCAGTTCAAGAGGCTGTTGTGTTTGTGACGGTCGACTCTGGCTCTGCTCTTTACGCAGTGCTGCAGTGCGGTGTTGTTGCTCTGTGTTGGTGGTAAACGAGCCAGGAGTAACACAAGAGTACTGGGGCTGCATGCACCTAGGGCTACCTTCTCTAGGTGCCCTGTAAGTACCGCCTTTTCGGCCTCAGGGTTATCTTCCATGAGCCGTTCAGGAGCAGCTACCTCTGTGTGGTTCGGTCCCTGCTCGGTGATTGCCCGCCCTTGGGGGTTCAGCTGGGGTGGTTCTTACTCCTGTTTGCCTTTGGATAGAAGGTAGTTTCGTCACTGGCTGGGGCGCAAGGTACTGTGCTGCTCTCTGATATACACATAGCGACCGGTTCTGTTCACCTGGAGACGTTGTGCTTTTGGGGTTTTTTCTTTTGTTTTTGTTTTGTTTTGCCTGGTGGGGGTCTGCCTGATACGGCGGTAGGACCACTTGTATGGTTTTGGTGGCCCTCCACTAGGTCCCTGTGCTTGCACTCGTCGCAGGGGTTCAGCTTTTAGTTTGTTTGCTTGGTGGCTCTGGGATAACCGATTAGCAGTACCTCGCCTGGGCTTCCCTTAGCAGTCAGCTTAAAGGCCCTGGGAACCCTCATTGGGGCTCTGAATCTCGCCTCGCTTTGTACGAGTTTGAAGATTGCTCTGCCCCCTTGTCGCAGGATGACACTCGCCATCTTTGCCTCCGCCATGTGCCTCCGCCTTTGCCTCTGCTATGCCATGCTGACTGTTGGGTCACTGACACCTTTGGCCCGAAGTTCTGCGAGTGGTGTTCTTTGCTTTTACTCCAATTCACCCAGTCCACTGAGACTGATATTCGACTGCAGGCAGCTTCAGCGTTGCATGTGAGGCTTTGGTTGCAGCAATGTGCGAGGTTGGTTGCCTTTCCGGATGCCCTTCAGCTGCCCCGCCTTGGTTATAGAGACCTGGACTTGAGGGTCCGCGCCCCCTAACCCTTTCCCTGCTGTGGTTCTTCCTGCTCACCCCCCCTCCCCTGCTGTGGTTCTTCCTGCTCACCCCCCTCCCCTGCTGTGGTTCTTCCTGCTCACCCCCCTCCCCTGCTGTGGTTCTTCCTGCTCACCCCCCCTCCCCTGCTGTGGTTCTTCCTGCTCACCCCCCTCCCCTGCTGTGGTTCTTCCTGCTCACCCCCTCCCCTGCTGTGGTTCTTCCTGCTCACCCCCTCCCCTGCTGTGGTTCTTCCTGCTCATCCTCTCCCCTGCTGTGGTTCTTCCTGCTCACCCTCTCCCCTGCTGTGGTTCTTCCTGCTCACCCCCTCCCCTGCTGTGGTTCTTCCTGCTCATCCTCTCCCCTGCTGTGGTTCTTCCTGCTCACCCTCTCCCCTGCTGTGGTTCTTCCTGCTCACCCCCTCCCCTGCTCCTGGCCCCCCAAACATCTGAGGGTTAGGGAGTCGGGGCATGGTTTGCCTGGTTAACTTGAGATGATTTCGGGGCTTTAGCATCCCCGTGGCCCGGTCTGGTCCCTGTGACCAGGCCTCCTTTTTGTTGCACACTTTCCCTGGGAAGCAGTCTGTAGCAGCTGTCTATCTCCCAGGTACCTATTTACTGCTAGGTAACAGGGGCATCAGGGTGAAAGAAACATTTTGCCCATTTGTCTCTGCTTCCACCAGTGATCGAACCCGGAACCTCAGGACTATGAATCCGAAGTGCTGTCCACCCAGCTGATGGTGAGACTCGGGCGGCTTCGGGGATTGGCCCTTCCGGACCGGCGGCGGAGGCATTCGAACCTGTTCCTCCTGCCGGAGTTTTTGAGTCATGCCAGCGGGCCTGCTTCATCCCTGCTTTTCCAGTGGACTCTGCTTTTTCTCCAGAAGCAGAGGGTTTGGAGGACGGCTCGGCCCTGGATCCTTACGTGAAGAATACCGGGGTTGGGGAGAAGTTGACTTGGGAGGGCTTGGGCCCCGTTTGACCCCGCTTGAGTGTTGGTACCCTTGGCATGGGGCTTGTTGTTACAGGAAGGGGAGTTTTCCTAATCCCCGTCCTCTCCCTGTACGATTTTGATGAGTTTGACTCCTCCCCGGGTTCGGTTCCGGGTTCCTTTGGGTACTTCGGTTTCCTCCTTTCGGAGACTCTCGGCTTCTCGCTTCCCACCAAGGGAGGTGCGGGAGGTCCTTGCGGCTTACCTTCTGTGAGACCCAGATTATGCCTCGCTAATGAAGCCTACTCCTTTTGAGTTTGGCTCCTCTTTTTTCCTTATTGGATGCATTACGAGGTGCCAGAGTCTTCGTGGCTGGCAGACTGCCCTTTTTTTGTGGGGGGGGGGGGCTTGGCATTCGTTCTGTCGGACCCGCACGGTTGAATGGTGGGAGTTGACTACGGTTGTTCTGGTTTCCCTGGGGGGGCGTGTTTAAGCACCTTAATGTGTGCTTCGCTCCCATCCTTCCTCGTGATGTCACCCAGGTGCAACTTCACGTGCCAGTTTCCTCCCATTTGGCGTCCCTGGTGGTCAAGGATTTGCGCGCCCATGGGCATTTGGCTTTGGTCTTGATCTTTTTTACCTGCTGGAGTTCTCTTCGGACTGGCTTGTGGAGGAGCTGGGTTCCGGGCCGGTGTTCAGTGTGTTTGTTCGGCAGCTCAGGCGTTGGCTTCCTTGTTGAAGTTGTTTGCGCTGATTCTAAAGGAGGCGGTGTCTCTGTTCTTTGTTTCTCGCCTCGCGTGCCGACAGGTGGTGCTCATCCACTCTTTGGAATCTGCTTGGGCCCTGGCTCTTAGATTTTCGTCCCCTTTTTGTCTGTTGCTGTTTGCAGAGTCTGCGGTGGTGCATTTTCTGTTGGCGGCTTCGTCTAGTTGCTGGCCTATGTCAGAATTGCTGGTTCTCCGGGGAGGGGGCTGTGGTGGTCCTGCCCAGAAGGGTCATGCCAGGTCTCAGGGTTCCTTCAATCGTCATAAGCCAGTAGTACCAGATTCGGGACCAGCCCCTCCTGCAGAGCCGTTGGCGTCTGGTCGGCGCAGTGATCGCTCTGAGCATTGGTTTGCTCTCGCCTGGTCCCACGATTTGTGGTCATTTTGGGTCGTTTCCTCCAGAGGCAGTGGCGTTGGGTCATTTCTCCTCAGTCGTTGGCTGTGGTTAAATATAGTCAGCCTGTGGTCTAACCTTGGACCAACAATGTTTGAAAGTGTATGGCTTTGACCATGATCATTTCTGACATGTCTTTGATATCCTGGCTCAAGGGTTTTTGGAGGTCTAATAGGGTCCTGGCTGCTTGTTATCTGGTCAGTGTTTCTGGTCTCTGTTGGGCTTGTTTTGCTCTCACTCCAGTTTTCCTTCCTGGGCTCTTCTTCAAGAGTCTAATCTTTGCTTTCCTCCTCCCTGGTAATTCTCTGTGGTTAGCTGTTTTGTTCAGCTCTTCTGAAAATCAGCAGTCAATTAAATGATGCATCTCTTTCTGGTTGGGCCTCAGTAGCGCCCTGTATTAGATACAAGGAGAGCAACTCCTCCTCGCATACCAAGATCCAAGCTCTTTAATCTAGCCGCCAAACTCCATGTTTATGAATTAAAAGTGGTTTACACACAAGACTAACAACTGATGACGTCCGAACACTTCCAGAACAAGTGCTTCACTCACGTTCTCTGTTCGAACCACAATTCTATTAATACTTCACCCATGTACTTCAAATACAAATAATCGCCAAAAGAACCTAAACACCTAACCTTACCTATGCCTAACTATACAGTACATAGAATTTTTATGTATAATATTAATTTATATATAAGAACAAACCAATTTTTAATACACATTACTTAGTATGTTAAAATTGATGAATGCATCTGCGGAGGACGGCCGCTGCTTTAAACAGCCTTGTGTGAGGACGGATTGGAGGAGAGAGTATGAGTAAAGACCACAAACCTGGTATGTTGGTTTCTGGTGTTTAGCTCCGGACTGAGATGTGTTGTCATGCGAGCCATTAGATCGCAGGCCGCTGCCATCCGGCAGTGACCACTTGTAATTAGAGGGATGCGAACTGACTACTGAGTGGATCATTTGTGGAGTAGTTTGCTGCTTCATATCTTGTTTCTCATTGAATCTTGTCTGTTTTGCTCTGCATACCTTCTGGATGTATCCAGAAAATATGCAGAGTCTACTTCCTGGAAAGTATGAAATTATGCTATTCAGGAAAGTATGCCATTCAGGACTCCTAGGGCTGATGTGATGCTTGTGAGGAGGTATCTCTGTGCTGGCTTCAAGGAGCCACTGAGGCCCAACCAGAAAGGAGTGTTTCATTACATTGAATGATTGTATTTTGATACATGATACATTAGATATTGTAAATTATTATTATTATTTGTCAGTACAGTATAGTAATCTATTAATTTTCCCTTTGCAGTGCCTAAAGCCTGTTCCAGAGTACACAGAAAAAATTCGAGAGTCCCTAAAGATTTTTGATAGACTCTTTGCCGAGTTTGAGTTGAGCTACGTGAGTGCGATGGTGCCGGTGAAGAGTGTCGAGGAACACGATGTTCAACAGAATGTTGTTGTTCTTTTTTCCGAAACTGTCCAAAGGTAAGTTAAGTTCATCCTCTTGAAATTTATTTGAAAACCAAAGTCAAGTGTTGCAGTTGATCAAATCTTCACAAACTCATAATTCCTAGACAATACTCAAAATGTCTCTTATAATCCTCCTTCAGGTCATTGGCAATTCAGAAACCTCTTAATTCACCTCTTATCACTGGTTACATGGAAATCTCTTCCTCTACCTCAACTCTACATTATATTGCTTTGTCCAGCTCTCCAAAACTTTGCTTAGAGAAACATAGGCATCTTTCCCAATTTATTCAGCTATTTGCAGTTACTGTTGTACTGTCAAACTTTAGTGTTTTACAGGGTATAAATATTATTATTTGCCTCATAGCTTACTACATAAATAACTTTTAATTTGTTTACCAGATACACTAGGTAGAACTTTCTTTGTGCGTCAAAAGGTTTCCTTGTCCAGAGTACTTGTTAGACCCACTTGGTAATGGTGTACAACCATTACTCATGAGATGTGTACGAGTACTTGTTTGTTTGCTCTGGGCATTTGTTGCATCTCTTATCGTCGAGTAGAGTCATTAAGTTCAATAGTGTGTAAATTCACTCTTCAAATCAGGAATCTGGGTATCACCGTCCATCCAGTATTTCATGTTTACATCCAATCTGGATTTTAGACACCATACTGTACAGTAAAGTGAGATATCGCTCTATCAAATTCCTGAATAGTCTGAACAGTTTGTGTTCTGTGCGAGGTGTTACGTGGATCAAACAGCTGCTGGTTCACAAACGATTGGTCGCCTCGACCATTGTCAAGCCCAGCCGTCAGGATGTGGCTATTTTTACCAGCTGATATCATGGGGGAAGACAAAGGGCAGAGTCTCGTTATGCTCCTCCGGTGACGCTCTGTCACGGCTCTCTTTACTGTTGGCTCTGTACTCGCTTTTCCTTCTGATGAAGTTAAGGGGGCGTCTGGTTGTCAGAGTCAAAGTTGTTCAATGTCAACCAATATTATTTGACTAGTTGTATATGAAAAGTGCTTTAATTGTCCCAAGTTTCAGTACTGCAGCATAAATAGAAAGGGAGATTTTTTTGTTTTTGTTTTTTTTTCAACGTTTTTTACACATTTTCAAGTCCACACTTCAGAACACACGTTTCAGATATAATTATTCTGTGACACTTTTCTGACACATTAGCATATAATAAAGGACCTTGAGATATAGAATTTCCAAAACATCTTTAGTTTTCCTAATACAAATGTTCAAAGTTCCCAAATTTTTTTTTGCAAATATGGCATGTTTATTGCTATTATAAAATCAATAAATGAACTTAGAGAAAAATGAAAACTCTCCAATGTAGAGACATGCCCTCCACATATACTGTGTAAGTTTCATGTAAATTGAATAAAAAATGAATCAGTTTTGTAAACGTTTGTGTCAATTGAAAAAAAAACAGAAATGAATGAAGTCTAAGGTTCTAAAATCTGTGGCTGAGGTTGACATCAACCAATTTTCTCCCAAATTGGCGTCCTTACAGATAGGCTTACGTACAGTCAGGTGTGTAAGTTTGATGCAAATCGCCCGAAAAAAAAAAAAAAAAAAAAATAATTAAAAAAAAAAAAATGCTTGTTATTTTTCTTAAATTTTTTTTTCAATTAAACTAATTATAATATTTGTTTATTATATACTATTGTGATAGCAAAAGAGTCATAGCTATGATTTCAGTTGACACTTTTGATTGATAATCGATTTTGACCATTTTGGCATAATTTTCACAACTACTGGGTACTTCAATATTTTTTTTCTCCCTTCCTATTTATGCTACGATGCTGAAACTTGGACCAGATGAAACACTTTTCATATAGAACTTGTCAAAAAAGTTTGATTGAAATCGAACGAGTTTTCATTTGTTGCATTTTTAGGGCAAATTGGAATCTAAGGCCCCCTTAACCCTTAACCCTTAACATGCTCGGGGTTTAATATCCTGTCATCGCCACAGGCGCATGTCATTTTGAAAAAAAAAAAATTATTTTTTCTTTCTAACCTGTTAATTTTTGTTCACTGATCACGGGAAAAATAATAAAAAAATCGTAAGTGGCATATATTGCCCGCTATAGGGCGGGGAAGTCTGGCAAATTATAGGCGCTGACTCAGTGTGCGTCCCAGGCGATCTGTTGCTCGCAAGCTGTCAGGCCGGAGTTGCCACAAAGAGATAATTAACGAATTATTTCAATGTCTCTGATTGATTTTCATACTTGTTTTGCTGTAATATTATTCAATAGTGTGTAGTTTGATATATTTATATAATAAAATGAGTGAATCATTGCTGTACTCAAAAATATGGTGTGCATATTGTTGATTCAATTATGTTCATCAATCAGTGAACAAATACTTTGTCGGTTATTACATTATAAGCACAGGTCATATATAAGTATCTGCATGTTTTGTTCACTATAACGAACCACTAAGTAGCTATTATGAGTCAAAAAGTAACGAGGAGTGACCGCCGTGTACCAGCCAGCCACTCCCGCCCTCCCTCCAGTCATCTGACTCACCCAGCACGTCATATGACGTGCTGGACATTGTTCCAGTCAACTGCGCATCACGTCATATGATGTGTTGGAGTACTACACAAGATTTAAACAGCCCGCGGATACACAGGGTTCACCACACCTTCATCAGGGCTCTTGTAAACAGACGCCATTTTTTAAAAAAATCGTGGGCCAAACTCCCGGGTGTTATTGGCCTCAGTATTGAGTGAGCAACCAAGCTTGACACACGCAGCATGAGCTAACGGCACTGCTGTTAAGCTTGTGACCACAGCATCGCCTAAAAATGCCAAATTATACTTGTTCATGCTATTATGTAGCGATGATATTATTACAGAAGACCCCTGACTGTGATAAAACTGACCAGGGTTCTGATAATAGCAGGATTGTGGTGATATTTAGCGCTGTGCGCCTTGGAAGGAGGTGTAATGCTGTGGGAGGGAGGGTGGTGGCGATGTCTTTTGACTGTGTGTGGCCACCTTTTATTGACTGCACTCACCATACCAGCTTAGTGGTTCGCTATGGTGAACACAAATGTAGATACTTATATATAACGTGCGTATAGAGGGTATAAACAGCAAGAGAAGGTTTGGAGCCTCCATTTTGGTGAGGGCGGTGGCGTCGTCTGCACGACGCCACCGTGCAGACGACGGTGTTGTTTACTGGTTACCACGATGGTCTTTATGCACCATACCAGTTTATTTGTACAAGTATGATGAATAAAACGGGTAGATATTTATATATAATGTGTGTATATAGCGTAATAACACCACACAGTATTGTTGGAGGACAAATATTAGTGCATCTGGCCTTGAGGGCGGCCGCTGATCAGCTGACTGTGTGAGTAGCCACATCTCTGTGCCTTTACTCACCATACAAGCTTAGATGTACAGTTATGGTGAACAAAACGTGTAGATACTTATATATAACGTCTGTATATAAGATATATAGCGTAATAACACCACACAGTATTGTTGGAGGAGAAATATTAGTGCGTCTGACCTTGAGGGCGGCCGCCGATCAGCTGACTGTGTGAGTAGCCACATCTCTGTGCCTTTACTCACCATACAAGCTTAGATGTACAGTTATGGTGAACAAAACGTGTAGATACTTATATATAACGTCTGTATATAGTGAATTATAGCAAAAACATTGTGGGAGGAGAATGAGGGTGAGTCAGATGACTGGAGGGAGGGCGGGAGTGGCTGGCTGGTACACGGCGGTCACTCCTCATTACTTTTTGACTCATAATAGCTACTTAGTGGTTCGTTATAGTGAACAAAACATGCAAATACTTATATATAACCTGTGCTTATAGTGTAATAACCGACAAAGTATTTGTTCACTGATTGATGAACATAATTGAATCAACAATATGCACACCATATTTTTGAGTACAGCAATGATTCACTCATTTTATTATATAAATATATCAAACTACACACTATTGAATAATACAGCAAAAAAAGTATGAAAAATCAATCAGAGACATTGAAATAATTCGGTAATTATCTCTTTGTGGCAACTCTGGCCTGACAGCTGGCGAGCAACAGATCGCCTGGGACGCACGCTGAGTCAGCGCCTATAATTTGCCAGACTTCCCCGCCCTATAGCGGGTAATATATGCCACTTACGATTTTTTTATTATTTTTCCCGTGATCAGTGAACAAAAATTAACAGGTTAGAAAGAAAAAATAATTTTTTTTTTTTTCAAAATGACATGCGCCTGTGGGGATGACAGGATATTAAACCCCGAGCATGTTAAGGGTTAAGAAAGGTCCTCTTGGGGCCTCAATATGGTCAGAGTCCTGTTGCCTCCCTCTTAGGCTCAACTCGCCACTTAAGATCTAAATCTACCGATCCTCGCGAGAGCACCCAAGGTCACAAGGTCACAACCTCTCTGTCTGAAGTTTAGCCAAACTGTGAGCTGGGCTCCACTCCCTGGGACGGGCGTCGTGCCCGCCGATGCCGTCACAGAAAACTTGTGGCTGATTGTGGCGCCCCCCCCCCCCCTGCCTATCATCTCTTAAATTATGAGCTTAAGGCATGTGGCACTTCACCACGCCCCGGATGTGTCACCGCCCGACGGTTCAAAAACCGAAACGAATTTTCCCTTAGGAAATAATGTAAATTGAATTAATCCATTCCACACACCAAAAAATGTTAACTTAAAAATACGTTTTATACAGAATATTACTCATATTTTTCATACACAAAACAATCAGGTATAAATATATACCTTAAATAAAATAAGTGAACATTTAACTGCACTTTACCTTTACTGAGGACTCTTGTTAGCGTATGGGAGACAGCGAGGAGGGAGGGAGGAGCGGTGTTTGTGTATGGGGAGGGTGAGGAGGAGGGAGAGGTGGCGAGTGTTTAGAAAGGACATCCCCTGCTCGCCTTGGCACTGCTCCTGTGCCAGGTAAGTCCACTACGGGCTCACTATAGCCTGTACTACTTGCGCCGCTCCTGTGCCAGGTGA